ATAAAAAAACGAGATCTTTCAGCTGATATTGGTAGATTCCGAAATCTTTGTTTTGAGTCTCATCAACTGTAATAACAACTCTGAATAAAGTAAGAAAAAATTGATCATTGATACAATAAACATTTGACAGTGGACTGGACTCGTAATACGAAAGAGAATACATTTTTGACATGATGTTCAAGTAATTGATAGATTGCTAGGAACTATCGGTCAGTAATCTTGGAATGTGTATGAGTTAATTTTCCGAGTCTTTCATTGGAATAGTACATGCTTCAGTGTTTCAAGTCTCGTCAATGCAATTTTGCATATAAATGTTTTGTTCCATCATCACACTAAAGAGCTCATTTAGCTTGAATATCTATTAAAGCTTTAAGAGACTATTCGCCGAGAAATCGATTTCATCTTCCTATGGATCGATCAGTGTGAGAATTATTTCATGGATATAAACTAACTTAACTTAGAAACGATCAAATCTTCAGCCAATTCAAGCGTTCAGAAAAAAAGATAAAAACCTTTTACCGAGGAATAAGCAGCTGTTATGAAAAATGACTTTCGTCCGTCATCTTTTTGTTCGATATCGATCGAAATGATCTCATTCAATAGAACAATGCAAATTGAACAATATGTAGTAACACATTTTTATTGAAATTAACTCCTGAGTAGATATGTATTAAAAAACAATACGGGATCACAAAAACCACGAGAAAAAGAAATCTTGAAAAATTCATATATCGACGTAGGAACTGAACTTTAAAAAAGTATTACCACAGTTTCGTTATTTTCCGTCTCTCTATCGGATGAGACCATTTCGATCTAAGTCTGACGAAAATTGTAAGACGAGAGTTATTTTTACGATTCTTTTTCTTCGACAGAACAAACAAGGAGAAAATCATGAAACATTAGTGTGCATGTAATAAGTGAAGATGAATGCTGTGTTTGAGTGAACACAATATATCATTCAAAAGTTCCTAAAATACTCTATCGTTTAGTGTATTTTTTTCAAGGTTTTGGTTTGTGTTCACGTTGCACATTATCAGTAGCACCGTGAAAACAAAACGAAGAAACAGCATGTTGAACAAGAATTTCCACAAAATTTTATTGTTTTACCTGTAAACATTGTATTTATAGCTTCGACACCCCAAAAATTGTACATAAACGTAGTTACAAACATCTTTTCTGAAATCACAGAAATACATATTATAGTCTCAAAGCTAATATCTATGCCTTCAAATCTTTGAAAACTCTTCAATATATCTCGAAGATATATCATTACTCCATGGATATTCTCTTATATTCATCATATTGAGGATTCGTAGCTCGAAATTTTTTACGTTATTTTGACAACGGTAGCTACAAAAACAATTAAATAATGTTGACAAGTTTTTTTTTTCGTCCGGGACTTCGACGAAAATCATCGTAAAACGGTGAATAAGTGATTTTTTCTAGACAATCACAACATATTCTGAAAGCGCGTTTTTCGGGCTGCAGGACTGGATCGATATGAAAAGGTTGAGTTTCGATCGAAAGTCGATTTTCTGAGTGTTTGGAAGATGGCTTGAAACAAAATGTTTTGGTATATAGTATATTGCTTAAAATTCTTTTAGAGTTTATTAAAGTATTTCATTATATTTAAAGTTTGCTCTACTGAACACAATAGAGCACAGAGCAAAAGTTTTGTTCTCTTAAAACTTCTATTCCCGATTCTATTGAATGAATACGTGACGATTCATCTTACGATGTTTGTAATTACTAGTAGTTGCATATTTTCGTTTTTCTCCGATTGTTACTATTGGTCTTGTAGTATTCTTACTATCAAAAGATAACGCACTGTTTTTTCTATATTTTTCATTATCGACTATTAACAAGATAAAACTCAATCGTTATTCATTGCATTGAACATAAGAAAGAAAAACGGGACATAAAAGCAGCTGACTAAAACCATTTATGCTTCAAAATCTGAAAAATGCAACTGTTTCTAGTTTACGATACTTTCCTAATGGGCGAAAGTGCAGAATACTAAAAGACGTTTACAGTCTTTTTTTTACTTTTATTTTAATATTAGAGCATCATACATTTTCTCATGTTGACACTTTTCTTTATTCAGACTAATATTAAGCAAGTAAAAAACTAGCAACATTAACTTTGTGTTACCACGTATAGACTTTATAAGCGTGGATGATACAAGAAAAGACTATTTCGAAATGTTTTTACAAATGCTGCTCGATACTTGACTCAGGGAATTGCTAGCAGCCATGCAGAATGGATTTTATTTCGTCATGTTCACTATATTTTCAAACAATACCGAATAATGAAGAAACACTATTAGATGAATTAATTAATAAAGCTAAAGAAGGTTTATCAAATGTCCTTGTTGGTCCTGGATATGATTTTAGTGATGTAATTGTTCATAGGTTTAATTATAAAAATAATGAAAATTATTATATTTCTATACATGCATCTGATGGAATAATAATGACTCATCCATCGGAACGTGTTAAAAATGATATAATAGCAATTATGCAGGGACGAACAAATGTATTAGCCGATAGCAAAATCCAAATGTTGTTACAGTTGATAATACTAAACAAACTTCTTGAATATAATTAACTATCCATTAATTGCTACATTTCAAAAAAAACATCTCCAACAATAAATGTCGATCGATCAGTAATTGATTTATCGTTCTTTTTTGAATCAATTGTATTAATTACATGGGGTAAATCGTATATAATACCTTTCAAATATTGATGTTTTTTTAATAAACCAGAGATGGGCAGCTCCGATCATGTCTCGCTTCAGCTCCGCTCAATGAAAAAGTTTCTTTGCAATTTTTCTTGAGCTTTGATGGCGTTCAGTGAATTTCACGTTTGATTTCAACATATATATATATAAACATAGACTATAGAAAAGAAAT